TAGTTTGTCATTTTGAGRRGCCACATTWWWCYSAGRAAAAAACTGTGGGTCAGCTGACCTCCCAAACCCCCCCCCCCCTTAGGTCCACTCCTGACAATCCCCGTTTTTATTTACTATGTCTATTTTTTGTTATTTTCTTACAATCTTGTTTATAACTTATTTCATTAATTTTAATATTATATAGGTAAGTGACATTTTTATAAAATACCTAACTAAAATACACAAAACATAATATTATAAAAGCTTTAGCCTGGTATTGCCCATATTGCCCAGTTTGCCAGGTTTTACGTGTGGGTCTGTCATATTGTCAAATATGACAATATTAATTTCGTATTTTGTAAATGTTTTGGAGTTTAAAATTTCAAACCCCTGCATGTGGTACACATTGTGCAGTGTTTATGACAGACAGACAGGTGAAAAGATAAACTCTTCATTTTATTGTTGTTATTTTATATTGTTAATAAGTTAACACTATTGGTAGATATTAAATTTTATGTACACAAACAGTTCTCAACATTGGGGTCACCACCCTCTTGGAGGTTTTCCACAATATTTTTTTAAGGATCGACAAAATATGATACTATCAATGGATGTATAATAACGTACTTAAGTAAAATGTTTTTAAAAATGAAATTTCTAATTTTGCTACTTTTTATCACACACAATATACTATTATCTTATTTGGTTTAATYAGAAAGTTTTGTAACGGTAGATATACGAAAAAAAATATTCGGATGATAAATCGCATACGGCTTGGTGGCTTGGCATATTTTAACCTAAATTTTTCTGAAAAATAATTGTAGACAAAATATGTACAGAACTTAATTTTCAAAAGAATTATGGTGAATTTGATTGTACTATTATAAACTCATAACTAAACACTTTGTTACATAATATAGTATAATAACAAAATAATATAGAGATACGTGGATGGGATCAAATAAAGATAACGAAAAATCTGAAGTGTGGCGMTACCATASAATCTCAAATATGATTTACACCCACGACCACATGACCACGTGAACACTGGAAATTTGTTGGTTAATAATAATAATAGTAGTAAATATAATAGTACATTTTCGGGTGAACTCGGAAATTTCGCCTACTCTTTTTAGTTGGTCATTTTATATAATAATAATTATATTGACTACTGAAAATTACTTTTTGACCCTTTTAAATTCCAACCACGATAATATAATATATTATAATATACTGTAATATACTGTATATACAGGTATATACTAATATATATTATATCTTATCTAACGTTATACTTTCTGTAAAACAGTTGAGTTCTTTTTTTTTTTTTTATTACGAAAATAATTCAGCAAAATATAATTAAATTGTATTTACATTACTTATCTAGATTAACTATTCTAAAAAAAATTACTTTCATTGTAGAAGATTGAGAAAATGTTCAGATTAAGATTTTACAACAGACATTGATTATATAATAGTCTATTAAAAATCAATGCTACAGGCAATAAAATAAAACTACAAACAAACACAGTAATCAAATATAAATTTAAGAAAACATTACACAATTCACATGTGGATAAATGTTGTTATCTTATTGGTATTGAAAGAATCATTGTACTGAAGTATCTAAGAATTACAAATTACAATATTATAACCAATAAAACGTAAAAATAATAAAATTCTTAAAAATTTCCGAAAATGAAACTTGCTTCACAGCATGTGATTAAATTTTGCCTTTGAATTGAAAGCCAACAATCATACAAAAGATGTAACATGATTGATAAATAAACTATTTTATACAACGATTAAATAATTATAAATATGATTCATAAAATCTCTCAAAAATTATACACTTAGTTTTGTATATTACTATAAATATAGTTACCAGGTAATATTTAGAAAAAAAAGTCATTCATAGCTTAATGGTTTWTTAAATATATCATGAAAATGTTAATTTGGATTTTAAGTGAATGATGAGTGTATTGATTTGACAACGTCATATTTTAATTTTATGTGTCGATGTATTTAATAAGTCGATAAGTAATCGAAAAAATGTGTGTCGATTTTCAACCTTAGAATCTTTTCCGGTGGGAATCTAGTTGATGCATAAAGAGGTTAAAATTGACAAATATATTTTAAGGACATCAAGAAAGCTAAAAAAATTACTATTTACACAARAAATATTCACTAAATTTTCTATCCACCATACAGTTTTCCAAATATGTCGACTCATGTTAAGCTTTTATAGTCATATTTAATTTCCTATTATAATTAGTTATTGAAAATTCGATATTAGATTTTTCATTAGTTGGAATTACTGGAAATTAAAAAAAGTTTAGCATAAATCCACAAAAAACTTAAAGAGACTTAAGGAACGATTTTCTTATTTTTTTAATTACATTGTTAATAACAACATATAAGAAACCTTATATTATTAAATTTTTAATATGTTTGACAAAAAAATTATGTACCGACAATATCAAGAGCCTATTGTAACTAAAAAAAAAAAACAATCAGTATATTTTGTCAGTTTTACCACTCACAGATAAAATAATTATATATTTTGGCAGAAATTTTCAAATATCTATACGTTTGGTCAGTGGTAATAGGCTCCACTAAAAAAAAAAAATGTTCCAAATACGGGAGTATTTTTTTCTATGATTCGGWARGTTGTTATAGATATATGGTTATCAATAATTGAAATTATAAATTAAATTATTGAAATATCAAATCATGAAACAATAAAACAACGAAATGATTTAATTTTATCTAATATTTAAGCCAAATTTATGATTTTAAAGTATATAATAAGACACTAGTTTAATTTTATTGGTATTTTGACCTTATCGTCATTAATTAATAATGATACAACAGATTACAATAATACTAGATCCTATAAAATAATAAAACTTAATACACTATTTAAAAGTGGTATACCTTATCTTAAAAATAAAWACTATAAAATATCTTACACCAGTAATTGATGGTACCAATATTATTTTGAGCGCTATATGATATACAGTTGTTTTAACACAAAAATGTCGTTATTTACATTTGTATGTTTTATTGTACTTGGTGTTGTAGCAGGAAATGAAGGAATATTTAAACTTCAAAATGTAGAGAAATATAGCGATTCAATAAGGTCCGCCAAGATCCTTATCGACTCCTTCAAAGATCAACACAACTTGGAAAATAACGACATAGAGAACAAAGTGGAAAGTAAATTAACTCATATTCAATCTAAAATATTTTTGATTTTAATGATATTTTATAAATGTATTTTTTATTTATTATACATCTAGGTATTTCAAAAAAATTTAAAGTACAAGAATTTTTTAACAAAAAAAATAAAACAAAATTAGATTGGTGGCAAACAGGCATTATTTATGAAATATACCCTCGGTCGTTTAAGGACACAACTGATACTGGCATCGGAGACTTACGAGGTATTACAATATTTATAATTATTTTTTGATTCCTAAGTTCACCATACCTACACATATTAACATTAAATTTAATCATTATCAATAAAATGCCATTTTATAAAACAAATTCACCCACCATATTTATGCTTATATTTCTATACAGTATAAGGTCTACGCTTTATAAYATATCCTAATGGCCACATAATTTTAATTTTTTAGGAATAATTGAAAAAATTCCCTACCTTAAGTTCTTGGGAATAAGTGCTATTTGGATAACTCCAATATACACTTCGCCTGGGTTTGATATGGGTTACGACATAAAGGATTACAGAGGAATCGATGAACTTATGGGATCTATGGAAGATTTTGATGAGTTAACATCTAAACTTCACGAAAATGGTTTTCTTAATATATATTTGTTATTTTTATAAATTATTATRAAATGTAAGATTGTGTTTCTATAATTATAATTTTTAATTTGTAGGAATTAAAATTATCCTTGATTTTGTACCTAACCATACAAGTGATGAACATGAATGGTTCGTCAAATCAGTACAAAGAATAGAACCGTACACTGATTATTACGTATGGGCCGATGCAAAATATGTAAATGACACCAGACAAACCCCAAATAATTGGGTGAGAACTCTTATGGAAAATTAAAATTTTAATACTAATAAATTATAAACTTACTTTATCGGTACATTTTTTTTTTATGTACATTTTCTTTTACAACATAGTTTCAAATAATATAAATATTTATAATTGTTGGTATAATAATTAGGTTTTACAATAAATGAGATATTTTCAATAAGGTGTTTAAAACTAATAAAAGAAGTGTATCGTGTCCGTAATGTAATATTATAATAATAATAAATTTGTTTTTATTATAATACAATTGTCAGTTAAAGACATAATAACTATTTTTTATTACATGTTTTCTTAGAATTCAATATTTGGAGATACCATATGGGAGTGGAGCGAAGAACGGCAACAATATTACTTACATCAGTTCTATAAACAACAACCAGACTTGAATTTTTGGAATCCATTAGTCCGCGAAGAAATGAAGGTTCGTAGATCGATAAAATATTATAAGCAAAAAATTATATTTAAATCAATCTATGTCGATTATTTTAAAAGGATTTGTTACGCTTCTGGATGGATAAAGGTGTGGACGGATTTCGAATGGACGCTATTCCAAACTTATACGAGAGACAGGATTTATTAGATGCACCTGAGCACTATGGATTTCCAGAAAAAAGTGGATATACAGAAGCAATTGATGAGACTTTTTATGAGGTAAACGACTGGAGAGCCTTAACAGAAGAATATAAAAAAAAGGATGGTAACACGAGGTATGAACATAACATAGGTCTTTATACCTATACCAAGATACCAAGATGTATAATTTTGACTTGTTAAAATAACTTTCAGAATTCTGCTCATTGAAACTTATTTATCACCTATTGAAACTATGAAATTTTATGGAAATGAAACAAATTATGGAGCTCATTTACCACTCAATATTGTTCTTGTCGGCCTCAACCATCAACCGGCAAGAGAATATATTGATAAAATAACGGAATGGATGTCAAATTTGCCATCAGGCGCATGGTCAAGTTGGACTGTATGTATAATATAATTATGAAATAACATAAAATTGCCGTTGCCAATTATCTCATAAATAAAAATAATACACCTAGCACAAAACCACATACAGATTTTAAAATACTAAATATCCTATAACAACCCCCCACAATATTTTAGTCGCATTGTTTTGCAAATTGCAACTTTCACTATTCATGCCTTAAAATACAAGCATATACTTTTGTATGCTTAAGAAATAACCTTTTTCAGCGTAAATATTATAACTGCACTACGCTTTCGATTAGTGCCGGTGGTATGATTTGCGAGGGCCTGTGCAAATTATAAACGTGAGGCCCCGGACCTAAATCAAAATTATGAAAAACGAATATTTTCACGCAAACATTTAAAAAAAAATCAATTTTGCTTATTTATGTAATTCTAAAAAAAATAACTGTAGATACATGCAACACTCTMTAAATGTTCATATTAATGATTTCTATGCATCGTAAGATTTAAAAATAGTGTAATTATTTTTGTGCTATTTGTAGATATGTAACAATTTTAAGTTAATTATATTATTTTAAATTATTGTCAAAAAAAATKTTCACTTGATCAAGCACTTTGAACATTTAATATACAACTTTCCTCAAGAGGTGTAAGATATAAAAAAAATTGAGCGTAATTCTACAAAAATTTTTACCTAAAAGTACCAGAAATTAAGAATTTAAAAAATAATCGAAATTAAGTAAATTGGCAAACTATTTCTAGTTAGAAATTCATAAAAAAAATTTATGTGGGTCTAAGATTTTTAATTTACTATAGAAGATTTCCCTTAAGTTGTCTTACATGTAAAAAAACTTTTATTCAACAATTTTCTTATTTTGATTTTAATCAAAAACTATAGGTACCTACTCGAAATTTTTATAAAATGTTGAACTTATGAGGATCTTTAATACATATTTTATATGTATGAATATTATATTTTTAGCTAGAATAAATGTTCCACTAGAACCACCATCATTATAGAAGTTTGAAAAAAATCGTACGCTTAAAAAGTTAACGAAAAYAACTGAAATTGTTTCCAGAAAAATCGTAATTTTTCGTTTGAACTTTATATTTAAATAAAATTAATTGTATCAGAGTTTTCGATTTTATTTATTTTTTCTCACTTAACTTCATTTTTTATTAATTTTTAAACTTTATTAGAAAAACTATTAAGAATAATTAAGTTTTATTTTACTTATATTAATTTTATTATCTAGATTAAATTAATTCTAMAAAAAACCACCATCATTATAGAAGATTGAGAATATTTTAAGCTTACAAACATACTGAATATACTGTACATAAAATATAAATTTGAGATCATACTGTACAATCTTATTATTGTTTAGATTGGAAATCATGATTTAAATCCTCGTCCAGCTTCAAGATATGGGTTGGAAATAATAGATGGTATTTTCATGGTACAATTTCTCTTACCGGGAACACCAATTTTGTATATGGGTGATGAATTGGCAATGACAGATTTATACTTGAGAGAAGATCAAATGAGTCCTTACTCAATAAGAAGTGGTAATATTCGAGAAAGAAGTCGTACACCTTTCCAATGGAATTCTTCGCCTCARGCTGGATTTACTAATCATCCAAAACCATGGTTGCCCGTGAACCCTAATTATGTAACGATCAACGTCGATAATGAACTAAACGCAAAACGTAGTCACTTGAAGATATTTAAAGAAATTATGGATTTGAGAAAGTTAGATGCTTTCCGTACGGGAGACCTAGAATTGTACGAAATATCAGAATATGTATTTGCTTTTTCGAGGTAAGAAACATTGTATTTAAAATCATCATAAGATATACCCAACCATAGATAATTTTAATATATTTTTAGGAGCAACTCATTTTTTAAGACCTATTTTATTGTCCTCAACCTTGGATCAGAGATAGAAATTGTTGACCTTACAAAATTCAAGAAAATAATATCTTCCAAATTGACAGTGAAAATTTCTAGTTTGTTTGCTGAACAAAAAAATGGGTTAGTAATTTAGTATTAAATGTTATTTAGAAGAAAGTTTTAAATTTATCTTGAAAATAACAGTAAATATAATTATTGTTTTTATGATTTACAGTGATATTGTTAGCTCCAAGTCGATTCATTTGAGACCTTCTTCAGCACTTGTTTTAGAATCATCGTTTTATTAATTAATGATATTTATTGTTATTATAATTTGAATTCAATTTAGAATAATATGTCATGTTTAAACTATATAATAACAATTATTCTTTCACTGAATTACATGATTAGATGTTGTCATCAATAATAAATAATTACGTTTTGTGAGAATAAGTCATATTATGTATCCTATCGTTGGGGTATTACAATATTTTGTTTATAAAGCAAGTTAAAACTATGTAAAGAAAATTAAAATTTTAAAATGTTAATGGGTTTCACAGAAAAAAAAACAAAATTCAATTAAATAAAAACTTATTTGTGTAAAAATTACAGTTTTTTTTTACTTTTTTCCCAAAACCTTTGTACATAAAATATGCTGAAGTTGAAAATCGATGTTTTCTCACCGCTCTAGGCAATATAAACAATAAAACAGACTATAAAAAGCCATACACATCGTTGTCGAACATAACAAATAAATATTGTATACTATACAACGATTAAACATTTATAAATATTATTCATCTTATATTATGACTTATAGCACAAATTTTAAATTAACACTATGTCAAGTTGAAGTTGAAGTKTGACTTCGTTGCAGCATATCACGCGCTGCTGACAAGTAGATTAAAATCTAGAGAAAAGTAAAGTTGCTCACTGCTAATCGAAATGTACGTTGTACTGAATGTCCTAAAAAGTTTGGTCTACAATGTTCCGATTTAATTAATAATTAAAAACATTACACCTATACAGTTTAAGCATAGGTAATATGATGATATTATTGTTGATAAATACTATAATTATTACATTATTATCGGTAAATGTTTATCGRATGAGTTTGGCCATCCCTGATCATGGATACACTCCGCATCATTGTATTATGAACGCCATTGTATCCATCTACTTTCCTTCGTTTACTAATGATTTTTGTCGAAAGGATTTATTTTATTTTTATTATTATTGCGCCGTTGATTATTCGTTTGAAAAACGATGTTGTCCGGTACTAAGTATATGTAATATTATTATGTACATATTTGTCAAAATAGTTTGTCAGTATACACTTGATATCGGCGCATGAATGGTTGGCCGTTGATCGCATACACCTAAGTAATTTTCGTTTGCAAGTGTATGACGGATGGGAGTGTACCGAATCGATAAAACGCATAATCACGCCCATATTACGTGTCAATATTAATTATTATTATATTTCAATCACCATACGGCGATAAATAAATCCCACTATCAATAAATAGATAACAATAAAACATATTATAGAATATATTATATAAAATAATTACAATAACAGTATATTATTAATTATTATTGAATGTTTTTTAAAAGTACGAAATACAATGTATACCTGTTATGTATGTACGAACTACAGCCGTTCGCGGGCATTGTTCCGTTCTAAGAAAGAGGTCGTCACTCGTCAGTTGCCAGAAGCCAAGCGGCCCAAAAAWTCAGCAGATAATTTATTTTTTGTTTGCGAACGACAACGTGTAATATATTTTTGCCCCTACCAATCGGTATGATGAATCACTTGAGGTCAACAGTTGGTTGTTTTATTTTTTAAATATTTTTTTCCTGTTGTTTGACAATAGTAAGACTATTCATATATATTATACATAATACATTTGTATTCTACGATTTGTTTTAAGATTTAAAACGAAGGTTCGAAAACTRTTCGTATTTAGTGTGAAGAAGTACCTAGGTAATTCATTAAATATTTCAATATGTTTTTCTTCGGATATTCTGGAGATGGATGATTTGCACATTTTTTGGACCCATAAATAAAATATTTAAATATGAATATTTCATTGAAAATGTAAGTAACAGTTATCACTGCCGTATTTGAGTTGCTACTAACTGATGAACAAAATATATAGGTAGGTATATTTWAAAAAAAATACGATAAAAAATTAAGTCGTGTTTCATAATTTTTCATTAAATTTGAATGCTATTCTCGATATATCTAATATAAAGGCTATATACTCGTGTGTATATTATATAATATACACATTATGCATATATACATATTTTAACCTTTCGATTAATGGAAGGATTGTTATGATACATATGAACAATATAAAGATCACTAGCGTTGTCACTACACCAAAAATGTTTTTCGAGTAAAAAGTACATTGTTATCAGGTCAATTTATACATTGCAGCTTTATCACTCCCACTTATAACAAAATATAATACCGAACAATATTCATGTACTGACAATACATAAACGTGAAATATTATATATAAGTGTATCTGACATTTTCATTTATTTCATTGCCTATATTATAGAATCGCGCTGCGATCGGGCGTGATGTGGTCGCATTCTAAAATGTGCATGCAAAGTCACATTTTCACGGTATGCTAACGACGAAGATGTTAAGTCARACGTTTTAATAATAATAATATGTCCCTAAGGTAACCATAAAGTTTTAACGGCGGTCAGTAGACCATACCGGTCCGATACTCATCTGTAGGTCCCGACGCCTGCACCCCCAATGATTTAGACGTGCCCACAAGGAATATACCTTTGCTGAATTTATTTTTTATCAAGTGATAAATTCCCTGGTACCAAAGCAGGACGTGTTTGGCCTACGGCCTGAGCTTTTTAATCACCACGACGTATTATATTATGTATACTGTAGCCTATYGTTAAGCTCGGTGTGCCATACGCGTTCCCAAAGCGCATTCTCTGTCATACACATATTATTTTATATTCAATATAATTCGATGTCTAACCGTGTACTTATCGATCATAATATTTCACTGATTGGTTATTAAAATAATGACAATGATCATATCTAAAGCTATTGTATTATAATCAACGATGGCTGTGGCTGAACGACTGTGAATATAAAAGACAGAGGATTTGCGCTGTTAATAGGCGATGGGTAATATCGGTTTGCCCTATCGCTAAAGAAAATACGAAGAGTTTTACGAGTCTTAAATAGAGGAATGATATTATGTTCAATACACGGTCTAAGAGAATTTTCGCTTATGTGGAGGTCATTCTATACACTCACCACTCACGTACACACACGCACGCACGTACGGACTCTCTCACACATACACATACACACATCACATACGCGTAGGGGGTTTTGAATGGAAGAAAAGGTCGGAGAGAAATGGGCAAGTCGAGACCATGATGATTTCACGGATCGATGGACGCTGCAGAGGGTAGAATGTCACGCTGCCGAAGAATTCGGTTTGGCAAGCCGCTTGATTAATTTAACACCGGCCAAGCAGAATTGTCTCTCGAAGAAAAGCTCATTGTCGCGCACTCCCGAAACGCCTCCACATTATATTATTATTATTATTATTATTATTATTATTTTATTATTATTATACTTACCTACTGCGATTCACCAGCCACACGACCGCAAATGGTTTTGCCACCAACGACCTTTAGTGTATCGCCCGTTACAACTGGCCGTCATCGTTATAATGCCATCATCGTTGTCACTCGACCCGCAGAACTCGTACCCAGGAATTTCAAGTCAATCACCAAACTCGCAGACTCCGCAAACTTCTGAAATATTTTCCTCAGCATTCGCTTCTATATTAATATTATTATTTATCATAAATGTTGTGGTCATGCATCGAAAGTGGTTACTACAACAGACGTACCTATATAATAATATAATTTTGTTTGTAGGAATATTTGAGAAACTGAGTTCGATGACGTGCATATTAATTGTTTTATACCTCAAAAAGTGATCATTTCACTATTACTAAAACTTTTATCGATGGCTGTAACCTGCAACAATGGACCTTATAAATTAAATCGATGAGCTACGTATTGCTCAAGAATGGTGAAGGCCTATGACCGACAGATTCAGCGTCTAGTTCAACGATACGATTATGGTGCCGATTCTCGGCCAGGATAACTCCACGCTAAAGTACGATCGGGTTCCAAGATACCTGGACTATACCGATTACCGGTGTAAGACATGAGCGTCAAAATGAGATAAGAAAAAAAAAAGTCGTATCCTACAAAAGCTCCGAAATCCTCGATACCTGTGTGCCACGATGAATAAATATTAAATATAACAGATGTTAAATTTAGAACTAACCGATYTATTWARATCTGAATTCAATCGTCCAGTTAAAATATAAGTAAAGCCATTTATTTTTGTTCATTATACACAATACAGCATTATAATTAAATTTATTGTCCAGCACATACCATCAAAACATAGAGGACGGACAGYTGTACTCTTTTTATCTTTAACACCCATTTTTTCTAACGTATCTAATGTTAATCTTGCTTTTTCAAAAAATTGAAGTTGTTGTAGTCTTATATTAGTTGTATTATATATTGCACACTAAAATGGATTCCAGTTGTATAMAATTATACTATTTAAAACATCAAGAAGGTCATTCAAAAACWTTATCATGTTATGAAAAGCAGTTTTGGATTTCAGCTTCCTCGTATACACACATGTTTTTATCGTAGCAGTCTTGTATTGCTTAAGAGTTGCATTGCTAATTTGCAAGACATTATTTGAAWAGGTCCAGTGGTTATATGGTTTTCTATTATTTTTAATAAAGACCTACTTGTAATACTGTTCTTGTCAATGTTATAGACATTTCTAACATCCTAGAAAGAAACTTCTTCATTTTTTAATTTAAAATTGCTCTTTATAAAATGGTTTCTAAAATTTTTAAATAAACGAGGAATAGCAAGTACAGAATAAATTTTCACTCCATCAATCTCAAAAAATGTCTTTTCCTTTGTTACAAATAAAGTTTAAGTGCTGATACATTTTTGGTGCCTTGATCACATATTACAGCTTTGATGAAAAATCCACAATATAATAGCCGTTGTACTGTTTCTACTATCAACTCACTTAAAATTTTATTTTTCACTGATGTTCCTGGTAGAAAATAACATATTGGMATTTTTCAAGAAGAGTATAATCCATGAATCATAAATACCATTGCTTGGCAAGCTAATTTATTTGATCGAGCCTTAAGTCCTAAATCTTCAAATCCCTCAACARCATCCAACAATTTGGAATATTCAAGATAACTCTTAATTTCCATTTCATCAAAAATCATAGTACAGTTCATCTTGACTCATTGAATTCAATTTTTTCAACTGCTATAGGACCAGCTCATGCCTTTAATTTGAGGCTAATAAGTTCATGTTTACTGCTATTGTATATTATTTTCTATACATGTACTTATTTTTATTTTCTAGATGTGTATCGATTGAAAAGTTTCGTAGTTTTTTCAGTCAATATTGATTATACGGA